GTGTGTACGTGTGACTGAACCCCTTCACCGTCCACCCGGAAGTATCACAACATTGTTAATCGGCTATACTCCAATATAAAATAAAAAGTTTAAAAAGAAAGGAAGGGGCTTAAAAAGGGTTTATAAATCGAACGAAAAGGGGATATCTGCTAGGCTGACTACAAAGCAGACCACAGGGTTCTGTGAAGGTCCTGACAGCCCCATCACTCAGTTACCCCTGACTTCCAACTTAACTTTCTCCAGACACACAGCATCAAGTTGCCTCATGCCTGTTCGGGCCTGGGAATGGTCAAGGCCATTGCCCTGTTACTGCGGTGACTCTTGAAAGCTTGTCCTCCTGTCCACTTTTTTAACTTTTTGGCTGCATCCAATCTTAGTTGCAGCACATGGGATCTTTGATCTTCGTTGAAGCATGCAGAATCTGCAGCTGCAACAATGCAAACTCTCAGTTGCGGCACATGAGATCTTTTAGTTGGTCATGTGAACTCAGTTTGCAGCATGTGGGCTCTCGCTTCCTGGCCAGAGATTGGACCCAGGCCCCCCGCATTGGGAGCATGGAGTCTTAACCACTGGACCACCAGGGGAGTCCCTCTACTGCTTTCATATCTGTCCCAAAGCGTGGTCCGCAGGTGTCCCCAGGATCTTGAAGAAGACTTCACCCGAGATGTTTCTTAATCTTTAATTGTAATTGAACTGGAGGTGGAGTAAGATGCTCCCTAAGCGGGGTACCCTAGAGGCCAAACCCAAGAGGAGAAAAACTGCTTCAGGAAGAAAAGGGGCTAATGAGGGCTGAGGTGTGGGGTTGTAGGACTTAGGGTTGAGGGGATAGCAGGCCACACGTGTGGCTCCAGCTCTGCCCCCAGTGGGTGGATGTGGCAGAGCAGGTCACTCCCTGGACCCTCGAGGGGGGAACTCTCCAGAAATAGACAAAAGCAGCCAATCTTTCAGTAGGAAGTGAGGGGATTCAGCCCCACATAATCCTCCTGTGCTGTTTCTCCTCTGGCTCACCTATCCCACGGCAGGAGGAAACGCCCTGTGCCACACCAGGAATCAGTCTAGCCCTGAGTCCCAGACTCAGCTCTTCGTCTCTGATCTCTGTCCTTGTTTGTCCTCCACTGAGAGAAGCAAAGATCATAGAACCCAGACCTTTAGAAATTGCACTGTGATGCCTTAGGTTGCTCAGAAACAGCTGTGGTAAAGAGGTAAGAAGGAGCCAAATCTTTTCCCTGCATGTTTTCCTGGCACACAGGTAGGTATATACGGGGAAGAGGTGTTAGTCGCTCAGCTGTGTCTGACTCTTTATGACCCCATGGACTGTAGCCCTCCAGCCTCCTCTGTCCACGTGATTCTCCAGGCAAGAATACTGGAGTGGGTTGCCATTCCCTTCTCCAGGGGATCTTCCCCACCAAGGGATCAAATCCAGGTATCCTGCGTCGCAGGTAGATTTTTATTTTTTTTTTCTGACTGAGCCACCAGGGGAAGAAAAACTCACCAAAATCAAGGAAAAGTCTTCGGTGCTGGACAGGGCTCTCCAAGCCCCATGACACTCTGTGTTCTCTTACCTCTATTTCTAGGTAAACTCTCCTTTAAGTGTCCCTCCGTTCTGGCCCACCCCTCATAACCCACTCTATGTGAGTATATGTTAGTCCTTTGGTTGTATTCAACTCTTTTCAATCCCACAAACCATAGACCACCAGTCTCCTCTTTCCATGGAATTCCCCAGGCAAGAATACTGGAGTGGGTAGCCATTCCCTTCTCTGGTGGATCTTCCCAAACCAAGATTGAACCTGGGTCTCTTGCACAGCAGGTGGATTCTCTGCCATCTGAGCCACTAGGAAAGCCCACTCTGTACCCACCTGAATAATTTTCCACCATTTTTTCCTTCAAAAGGACATTTATACATCTACAGAGCTTCTCCTCTATGCCTAACACTGAGCTGGATACTGCACATAAAGAGGTAACTATAATGCATTCCTCTCTGGGTAGGATGTAAAAATCCAGAAACGAACACATGCACACAATGCAATGAGATAGCTTGCTTCAGGTGTGGTCCAGTTTCAACAAGGTACAGAGAAGGTCCAAAGAAAGTATGCCCATTGCTGCCTGGCAATGCCAATGAAGATTTCAGGACAGAGTATGGAAGGGGGGATACGACTTTTCCAGGTGAGACGGGGACTCCCAAAGAGAGGGGCAAAAGTCCAAAGCTATGAAATTGTACAGGATGTTCCTAGAATTATAAGATATTGAGTAGTTGCGTATCTAATATCAAAGCCTTATTTTCCAATAAATAAAACTGTGATTCTCATATATAGTGTTGCTCATGCTCAGTTGCTCAATCATGTCAAACTCTTTGTGACCCCATGGACTGTAGCCCACCAGGCTCCTCTGTCCCTGGAATTTTGGGGGCAAGAATACTGGAGTCAATAGCCATGCCCTTCTCCAGAGGATCTTCCAGGTCCAGGGATCAAACCCAGATCTCCTGCACTGGCAGGCAGATTTTTTAATCTCTGAACCACCAGGGAAGCCCAATATATCTATATTACAAACTAAATTCTCATGTTGGCTAATAACTGTTTCATGACTGTCCAGTCTGTCCCATTGATATTTCTGTATTTATGTCATCTCACTGTTTTAAAAGTTGCCTGTCCTCATTCATCTTTCACAAACTTTCTTGGATTTTCAACTAAGTTCCTTACATTTGACTAGTTAATACTCCTGCTAATAACTTTCTCTGAGTGGCTGGATCATCAGAGTCTTAATCAGAATAACGACCCCAGAGGAGTCAAAGGCAGTGACATTTCCGTAACACTCAATGCTACAGAATAGCAGAGCCCATGTCTCTTACCTTTCATACTTGGCTCTAACCCAGTGCCTGACATACAGTAGGCACTCAAATAACTGTGAAATCAATGAAAGATGAGGAGACTCAGAGAATCATTTAAATGTCTGCAAACATCTAAAGTTATCATGGCAAAGAGAAATGATCTTCAGAGCGGGGAACTAAAACCATAAGTTATAAAGACACATTTCAGCTCAAAGGAAGAAACCTTTGCTTAAATGCATATAAAATTGAGGACAATTGTTCTCAGTTTAAAAATTCCCTCCTGTGGCAGAGGTGCAACATTCAAAGAGAAACCAAGGCTTTTTTTTTTTTAAGGAGTGCAATAAAAGACAGAAGGCTCTCATTCTCTTTATTTTCAATTGAAAAAAGTTCATGATAAATAGTCTCTTTGTTCTTAGTCAAAAGATTTTATGATAGGGAATTGCCTCTACTCCACCCCAACAATATCTGTTATTCATTCAACAAATATTTATAGAGTATCCATTTTATCCCAGATGGCTCAGTGGAGAAAGAATCCACCTGCAGTGCAGGAGATGCAGTTTGACCCCTGGGCTGGAAATCCCTTGGAGGAAGGCATAGCAATCCACTCCAATATTCTTGCCTGGAGAATTCCATGGAAGAGGAGCCTGGTGGGCTTCGGTCCATAGGGTGGAAAAGAATCAGACATGAATGAAGCTACTAAGCACACACACATTATATACCAAGTACCATAATAAGTGCTTAGGTTATGAAACAGCAATGCAACAGAAAAGGCATAATCCTCTCCACCTGAAGAAATGTGAAGAATTACAACACAAACCTGCTGGGAACACTTATGGTGGGGGCTCTGATTTTGCCTTTGCAATTAGGGTGTATTATGCTACATTGGTCATTATGACTACAATAGAGGGATCAATTGGGATAGTAATAGAGATGCTACTATATGATAATGGAGGAATTATCTATAAAGTTTTACACGGTATCCTTTTCCAAGTCAAACTTGAGAGACAGAGAATAGTCTGCTTAAAGATCCTGTTTCAAGCAAACAGCATGAGGACTATCATTTAATTTTGTAACTCCCAATGATCTCCTCTCCACCTTTCTCTGGGACTTGAAGAGACCACAACTGCAAGGCAGGAAGGAGATGGTCATGAGGCTGGTACTGTCACAGGAATTAGGGAGCAAAGGAACAGTTGTGAATCAGGGAAGATGAAAGAAAGCCCTGCATGGTGTAGAACGTCCATGTTTTTAAATATGTCTTTATTTACTGGCTGTGTTTGGTCTTAGTTGTGGCACACCGAATCTTTTGTTGCAACGCCTGGGCTCTTGCGGCACGTGGGCTGCTGCATTGTGGCACATGGGCTCTATAGCCTATGCTCCATGCCATGTAGGACCTTAGTTCCCAGACCTGGGATCGAACCTGCAGCCACCACATTGGAAGGCAGACTTAACCACTGGACCACCAGTGAATTCCTCTAGTTGCAGCGTGTAGGCTTCTCATTGCAGTGACTTCTCTTGTTGCAGAGCAGGGGCTCTAGTGTGCATGGGCTTCAGTAATTGTAGCTCAAGGACCTAGGTGCTCCATGGCATGTGGAACCCTCCTGGACCAGGGATTAAACCCATGTCCCCTGGATTGGCAGGCAGATTCCAAACCTGGACCCCCAGGGAAGTCCTGGAACATTCAATTTTTAAAGAGGTGCTCCGAGGAGCAGAGGTCAAAATAAGGAAGGTATTATTGAGATCTTGGTCAACTAAAGAAAAGCCATAGATAAGACATAAGGCTTGAGTGACTGAGTTTCAAGTATATGGCACATTCCTGTTTTGTCATTGTTTGAACATTAGTCTTGCCTCTTTCCATAAGGCAATTTCCATAACTTACATGGAAACAGAGAACCAGACAGTTATTTCAAAATTCATCCTTCTGGGGCTCTCGGATGATGAGGACCTTCAGCCCCTCCTCATTGGACTGTTCCTGTCCATGTACCTGGTCTGTGTTACAGGGAACCTGCTCATCATTCTGGCCATCATCTCTGAGTCCAACCTCCACACCCCCATGTACTTCTTCCTCTCCAACCTGTCCTTCACTGACATCTGTTTCACCTCCACCATAGTCCCCAAGATGTTAGTGAATATCCAGAAGCAGAACAAAGGCATCACATATGAAGGATGCCTTACCCAGATGTACTTTTTCATGATCTTTGCTGGGCTGGATAATTTGCTACTGACAGTGATGGCCTATGACCGGTTCGTGGCCATCTGTCACCCCCTGCACTACACAGTCATCATGAATCCTCACCTTTGTGGTCTCCTGCTTCTGCTTTCTTGGCTGATCTGCCTGACATATTCTTTGTTGCAAAGTTTGATGGTTTTGAGGGTATCTTTCTGCAAAGAGACAGAAATTCCCCACTTCTTCTGTGAACTTGCTCAAATTCTCAAGCTTGCCTGCTCTGACACCCTTGTCAATGACATTGTGCTGTATTCTGTAACTGGCCTGCTGGGTGTTATTCCCCTGACTGGGATCCTTTTCTCTTATTCTAGAATTATCTTCTCCATAATAGGCATTTCATCTTCTGGGGGGAAGTATAAAGCCTTTTCCACCTGTGGGTCTCACCTCTCAGTTGTCTCCTTGTTCTATGGTGCAGGCCTTGGGGTCTACCTCACTTCAGGAACAGCCCATCCCTCCAGAAAGGGTTCAATAGCCTCGGTGATGTACACAGTAGTCACCCCCATGCTGAACCCCTTCATCTACAGTCTGAGGAACAGGGACATGAAGGGGGCTCTGAGGAGACTTTTCACTAGAGGAACATACTCTCAGTAAGATAATGGAAGTTAAGGGCAGGCAACGGAGATCCCAAGTGTTGATAACTGGTGTCCATGAAGGTGTAATCTGAAGACATAGAAAAGAAACATTATTTATGATATACTAGAAGAAAATATTTCTGAGCCAAAGACAAACTTGAAGCAGCACACTAAAATGCTCACCATCTACCAAGGAAAAAGAATGACCAATCAATAACTAAACTTCCCATGGAAACAAATCATTCCAAGGATTGATTCCTGTAAGCATCAAGGGAGGAAAAAGCAAGTCAAGAAATGCAGATGGGGAGAGGACAAGAATGACCACAAAAATTTACACATTGGCTCACCTTTAAACCCTCTCAGTTATGTTCAAACTTCTAGCACCATGCCTGCTGGACCATGCCTTTCCCTAGTCTGAAAACCATTGTTTGGACTGTCTCATACCAACCTCCCTCACCCCGTAAGGTTTTACACTTATTGAGTCTGGCTTTGGTGTTGGCCATTGACTTATACTTGGGACTTTAATGAGAAACTTCTTTAGGAAACTCCGTGCAGTTTCTACTTTCAGAAAAAGGAAACTCTGGTCTCTGTTGACCCATCTGATCTAAAATAAAGGTCCAAAACATTCTACTCACTGTCTTCCTTCGCTGGTCCACACTTCCCTGAATTGTCACATGCTAGGCTTCAAATAGAAACTGTCAGCTCTTCAGAGAGTCCAAACCTGACCACCATCCTCCTGTTCATTCATTTCCATAGCACTTACCATATTTTGAGGTGGGGCAGATCACAGAGGCCAAGAGGGCTCTGGGTTAATCTCTCTTCATCATTCACTAAGTGTGCAATCTCACGCATGTTACTTAACCTCTTTGTGTCTCTGTACTCCATATTTCCTTAAGAGTTCCAATGGAGATTAAACATTATACATAAGAGAATTCAGAACAGTGTCTGGCATAAGTATCAGAAGATCCATGAGGGCCATCTAGGTCCATGCTCACCATGGTGAAGGTACAAAGGGATCCATTATCACCAGACCAGGTGGAAAAGCTGTAGAGGGTTGATCAGGCTATGGGTTTAGAAGACGCTGAGTGAATTCCCAGAGCTGACTCACAGCACTGAGGACATCATGTAGGAGAGGCAGCCATTCTAAGGCTCAGTCCAGAGCACCACGTGCTGAAGATCAGATCTGCAGAGTACAGGAGAGAACTTCCCTGGATCTAGAAGACTAAGGATTGGACCAGGACTCCCTGCAACAGTGAACTGGGAGTGCAGAGCATCCCTTATACAGTTCAGCCCCAAGGGGAGATTCTCTTGAAATGAGGGTAAAAAATTAAAACCTGCCTTGGGTTGACCTGAGGAATGTTGAACTCTCTTGGTAAATACCTGATTTGGATCCTGGCAGACTCCAATGGTTGAATTATAACTTTCTCTTGGACAGAGGAGCCTGGCAGGCTATACAGTCCATAGGGTCACAAAGAGTTGGACATGACTAGAGCAATTTAGCACTGTTTCTAAGTAGTCTCAGATTCTGCATTGCTAAGTATTAAATAATGGCTGGGGTGATTATAGAAAGTTAATATCAAATGCACACATTTGCAAAAAGCAGTGGCTGCCATATTTATGAACATATTTATTTATGCCCCCATCTTGTACCAAAAGAGGCACACCTATAGGCAGGATCCTGGACTCCAGAAAGCTCTGCACAGCCGCATTCTTCTCCAGCAGGGGTCTGAGGTTGAAATACAAACCGATTGATATTGGTTAAAAAAAAAAAAAAATCACTTTATTCAATACAATGTTTTAGCTTCCAATCATTCTATGGAATCTCTGGCCCTGGTGACCTGGAGAATTAGAATAAGATGAAGCCAAGATAGGACCATCCTAATAAGCCTGCAACAGTATGATTATCCGCCATCTTTCAATTAGTTAGAAGTGCAGAAACATTTACTATATCACAGGGTTTTTCAACCTGGGTACTGTTAAAATTTGGGGCCAGGTAATTCTTGGGACAGAGGATGAGGGAGGAGCAGGGGCACTGCCCTATACATTGTAGGACGCTTAGCAGCATTTATGGCCTTATACACTAGATACCAGTAGCTTACCCCACTCTCACATCCCATTCAGAAAAGATTTTTAAAAAAGTATCTCCAGACATTGCCAAATATCCCTTAAGAACAAAATCACTCCTGAATGAAAATCAGTGATTTACCATGACTCAGACAACTGATGAAAGGAAAATGAAGAGAAAAAAATAAGTGAGGGTTAGACCCTGGTTTTCCTAAGGCCCTATGATATGAGCCTCTTCTTATAGGAAGAATGGGCCTTAGGTCTGGCACAGAAGTATTAATGGACATTTGTTGAACTGATGAACAAATTTTAGTGCCAGAGGACAAGAACCTTGTCTGTTCATCGTTTGCCTGGGGGATGATGGGGAAGCATTAAAAGGGACATGAGGAAACATTTGGGGGGGGGTCACCATCTTGACTGTGTGATGGTTTCACAAGGGTATATATAGGACAAAACTTATATCAGTATATATTTTAAGAACGTGCAGCTTCATATATGTCGATTTTTTAAACACTTATTTATTTGGCTGCGCTGGGTCCTCACTGCTGCATGAGGGCTTTCTCTAGTTGCGGAAAGCAGGAGCTACTCTTCATCGCGATGCATGGGCTTTTCACACAGTGGCGTCTCTTCTTGCACAGCACAGCCTCCAGAAGGCACGCTCAGCAGTTGCGGTGCATGGGCTTAGTTGCTTGGCAGCATGTGGCATCTTCCCAAACCAGGGATCGAACCCATGTCCCCTGCATTGCAAGGTGGATTCTTAGCCACTCGACCACCAGGAAAGCCCCTTCCTTATATGTTAATTACACCTATATAAAGTTATCCTCTCTCATTTTAAATTCCTGCACTATAACACTGGGCTTGTGGCAACTGCAAAACAGGTACCATTTCTTCCCTTTCCTGTACCCACTTCCCTTCTTTGTAGCTTCTTCTTTCCACCCTGGGCTCACCCACGTGACCAGCACTGGGCAATGGGGTGCAGGCAAACATGAAACATACAGGCACTTGAAAAGCACCTGCAGTGGAGCTTGTGCTCTTCTAGAACCCTCCAGCATCATATGTACAAAGCCTCATCTCATAAGGCCCCAGTTAGACTGTTGGAGGATGAGACCAGAATGAGCAAGTAACCCCCAAGCCAGACCAGCAGTCGACTGCAAGCACATTAGTAAGCCCAGCTAAGCACAATCCCAACTGTCAACCAACAGAACTGTAAACTAAACAAATGGTGGTTGTTTTACACCACTGTGTTTCAGGTAGTTTATTATGCAGCAATTATGAACAGGCTCCCTTCATTCCATTCTACTAAGAAGTGTGCACAGGCTACTTTTCTAAACTCAATCTCACCAATGTCAACATATTTCTATCAACTTCAATTAAAACTTAAACTGAGACTGATAAAGTCCTGATGTATGTGTGCGTGTGTTATATAATCTCCCAGGTTACCCCTCTAGCTTTATCTTCTACTTCCAAGATTGTCCTTTTTTACATGTCAGAGAATGTGATGCAGAGTTTTCTTTGCCTTTGCACTCATGATTGACATGCTTACTCAAATCTAATCCTGAACACTATAAATAAGCCTTCTAAGCTTAGCTTGTGTCATCTCTTCAATATGGCTCTTTCTGAACTCCAAAAGTTCAACATACCTCCTCGGGTCCTTGTTAATGGATTAACAGGCCATATTAGCTATCTCATCTATTGTTTATACCCATCTCTCCTCTTAGATCTTTACTCCTTTAAGGACAGCATCATGTCTTTTTTCCCAAAGCCTAATCCAGTATAAGGCCCTTAATTGATATTCACTGGTTCTTTAGAGAGGAAAAAAATCCAGAGTGGGTTGAAGTTACACAAGATAGAGCTGGTTCCTGTAGGAGAACCCCCAAGAACTCAGGCCATAATGAGACATGAAGACTGAGTAAGAATATAATTAGAAGTCCCCTCCAGAGAGACTGTGTAAGGTAGCAGGTCTGTCCCAAGAACTGGCAGAAAAGTGCGATGAGATGCAGGAGCTCTGGGGCACTTAGGTGCAGGTGGGAATTCAGTTTCCCCTGGCTTGTTAACTGACATGATGTTGGAATTAGGCTGACGGAGTAGCTGTGTTGGATTCTGAGGGCTCCTAATTAAAGAAACAGTCTTACATTAGTCAATACTGAGAAAAAGTACTCTTCTCCCCTTGGGCCTGGCCTCTAAGGGCACATTATTTTTTTTTCCCCCCAAATCTAGGCAAGAGCTAGTCAATAATTGCTATTCCATCACTAGTGAGCTGAGGAAAACGTTTGATCTGCAAAACACTCAGCACCTTCACTCACCGATGCACAATTACCAACACCATGCACCCAAAGACCCGCATGGAGCGCTGCAAGTAGAATGAGTGCAGTAAGAGAGAAATGACCATCGAATCAAAAAATATTTTTAAATCATATGACCACTTTACTGACCTCTATGCTAGATGAAATGAGCTATTCCCCATGAAAATACAGATTACCAATGCTGACGCCACTCAGGTTAGAAAACTTAACACAGACTAATTTCCATAAAAGAAATAAAGTTCCTAAGAAAATACACCACTAAAAAGCAATTCACCCAGATGGTTTCATGGGGAATTCTACCTGATTTTCCAAAAACCACATAGTCCTAATGCTGTACAAACTATTCCAGAGTACTGAAAAAGAGGGAAAAAATTCCTAAGTCCTCTCATGAAGCAGCCATAATACTAAAACCCAAACCAGAAAGACAGTTCTAAGAAACCATGTATCAATTACTCATGAATACCAATGCAAAATTCTCAACAAAATACTAGCAAACAAAATCCAACAACACATTAAGAAAATAACATACCATGGCCAATGAAATTCATTCTCGGGACACAAAATTTGTTGAGTGTTGAGAAATTTATTAATATATTAATAAATCAGAGGAAGAGAATCACAATCCTCTTCACAGATGTTCAGAAAAACTCTG